GGGGGGGGGGGGAGAAAGAGTGTAAAATAGCCAAAGTACAAAAATTTTGAAGGGAGGAGAAAGAGTGTAAAATAGCCAAAGTACAAAAATTTAATAAAGTAATTTAGTCGTGTAAAATTTTTTTACACTGATGATGTATATAATTTAAACTCTATTGCATATCTTGTTCTTAAAACATTGGGAATTGAAGAAAACACGGGGTTCTCCTTAATTTACCAAACTACTTTATCTAAAGAAAGAAACTTAAGAATCTTTTTTTATGTCAAGAAATCTGTCACAATAATTTTATCTATCTAATAATAGAAATCTGTCCTCAGCCTAAAATTTTCCCCTTCCCCACATAAACCTATTCAAGAAATAAGGAGATCCTCAGTTAACCATAAAGACACCCCCAACCCTCTCATGTCTCTCTCCTACAACAACTTGAAAAAACCATTAGAACAGTTGGGAGTTGACTAGTTGATATGTCATGGATGAGATTAGACTGATCCAAAAAAAGGCTCAACTAAAATCAAGAAATGATGCCTATATTTCCAAGAAAACCAAACACCAAAGTCTTCTCTTGATGAAATTAAAGAGGGCTACCACCAAACTATCCTTTGAGTAATCTTCAAGCTTTCTTTGAAACCTCTTCTTTTCTACTTTTTTCTTTATTCTCTTTCATCTCTCATTGAAATAAAGAGAAAAAAAAGGAAAGACTGTTATGGAAACTCACCAATTCATATACCCAATTTCTGTAACTGCCCTTGGCCTTGTCTCCATCACTCTATGCATAGTTGCTGAATTCAAGAAAACAAAGGTAAATTTTTTTAACCAAAAACTTCCCTTGAGCCAATTTTTTCAATGGGATTATTTGGTTTGATCATGTGTATGTGCAGAAGAAAGATCTGAGGTTTGATGGGAAATTGTGTTACTTGCCTGGAAGTACTGTGGCTTTTGAATTGGGAATTGGAGCTTTAATTTGTTTATTAATGGCTCAAGTGATTGGGAACTTGATGATATGCAGAATATTCTTCTCAAGGGACAGTTGGAAAGCTAAGAAAAACCCCACCCTGCTTATTAATGGCTTCATTTGTCTTCTTTCATGGTACGTAGGTGATCCATCCATTTCTAACATGCAATTTTACAAATCCTCTACTCTTTAATTAAAATTATTGATTTATTGGAACTACTATTTTTATCATGTCTAAATAAGGAAAAATTATCAAATTGCGTAGCACAACTTTTGTACGTATTGTTTTGATAGGATGTAACTACGTTTTTTACTTCCTTTTGAGTTTCACCTGTATAAAAATTTGAAAATATAGATAGATACGTGACGAAGTGGCAAAGTACGAGTGTTGAAGCATAACGTGCAACATATGCGCATGAATTAATTGCTTCGGCGAAATTATTTCAAAGGTTTCTTCTTTTTTTAATTGGTTTCAGCTTTTCTTTATTTTCCCAGGAGAAATAATAGTGCATGTGCCGATATACTTACCCACGAATAAAAGAATTATCTTTAATTATATGTCTCATGTTCTCTCTCTTTTTGCTTTCTTTTTCTCGACAAGCTTCAAAGCATAAGCACATGGACAGCTATGTAGAAAATTTTGTGTTGAATCTGAAATTATGCCTAGTTAATTTTAAAATTAGTAAGTCAGACAAGTTCCAAAACTAGTTAGTAATAATTGGAAATATTATTTCCTATGGTGTGATTGCAGGATCAGCTTTGTAATGGCAATAATATTAATAGGGGCAGCGAGTAGCATGAGCAAAAGTCAGCCATTTGGTGAAGGATGGGTTGATGGTGAATGTTACATAGTCAAAGAGGGTGTCTACATTATTTCAGCAATTTTGGTCTTTGTAACTTTGAGCTCAACTCTTGTTCCCCTCATCTTTAAAATAAGGAAGAAGAGCCAAGTTGAAATAAGATGGCAACATACCTCAACAAGTTGAATACAAAATGCAGAGACAGATTTAGCAACAGCTAGCTTTACTTATTCTTTCTGATAGAGAATCAATGCTCTCGATCCTAAAAGAAAAGCACACAAGATCCAACTTTATATATATAGTGCTACAAGTTAATACAAATAACAATCAGTGCAAATGCAAATGAGCAAAAATATTCTATTTTAAAGGCCTAGGTTTTCTCCTAATGTAAGATAAAGTGATAGGATAAAAAGGATATTGACGGTATATATAGTAAATGGGGATCCCTAGTAAAAGCACACACATCGTTTCCTCCCCACGTGGTGGTGATGTGTTTACCAAATTGCAATCTGGCATCAGGAATAATATGAAATATATTACTCCATTTACTTTGAAATTTTCAAATTAATACTACAACGAGTCAGCAATATATGCACGTGGCCAGTTAGAACAATCCTGGGTCCACCATCTCAGCAGGGGAAAGCATACATATATAGACATTAGTCAATTGTCCAGAAAATATTTCAACACAACATGTTAATTAGAAGGACCATCGCTGATTCCCTCCCAAAATTATGCTCCTATTCCCTCTCATGGCCATGGGAAGTAACTCGAGAAAAGACATTATAGTGTTTCTTTAAACTGAAAGGTTTATTGCAGTTTGACATAATATTTAGAGTTCAAACATAACTTAATGGTTTGATGACATTAACTATTTTGCAGCTTGCCTGTTTAACAAGCGTAACATTAACTTCATTATTCGTAAGAAATATATTTCAATATCTGAATATTTTTCAAGAGATATCTCCACATAAAGTTAGGACTAAATTCAATAATAATCGAGAATGAGACAATGATGCTAGAAATGAATGACCGTTAAATGTCTAATACAGTCAGACCTCTCTATAACAGTATTTCTATATAACCGTCATTCACTATAAAAGCCTAGTTTTTCTCAGAACCGATTTTTTATGTTATATTTTACTTCTCTATAACACTATTCTACATATAACAGCAATAGCCATCTTTATGACAGTACGCTCTTTGTAAAATTATTCCCTCTATAACAGCCATGTAGATTCTAAGATTATTAATAATAATAATTCTAAATATTTAAGCAAATATTTTATAACTTTAATGTACAACTTATAATAGCTATATATATTATTTTAAGGATAGTAGTATGTTCCATAAACATATGCACATCAAATATTTTTATAAGTAAAGATCTACAAATGATATATTTTGCATTAGAAAAATGCCAAAAGATACTTAAAAGATCTATTTATACTTTTTGAAGATATGCATATCATTCTTTTTTATTTGAAGATGTACACATGATATATCTTATATTGGACAATGACCAATAATATGTGAACGTAACCTATTCATATTTTTTAATTGTGTGCCTTAGAGTTTAAATATATGTGCGTTTAGTTAAGAAATTTTTAATAATGTATTAGATTTCTTTAGCATTTAATTCGTGAAATATTTATATCTTTTGAGATTTTGAATTTAAATATTTTATTAATCTTTTATATATAATATTATAAAAGAAAAACAATTAGTTTTTGGATAATCTTTGTCTATAACAGCCAAAATGTATTTAAATGCCAAATGCTATTATAGGTGTATAACAACCATTCACTATAAAAGCCGAAAAATTTCAGAACAAATGATGTTGTTATAGAGAAGTTTGACTGTATATATAACAATAGAGACGTGAAAATCAATTTTCACAGACAATGAGCATGTTACAGCAAAACTGTTGAAAGACGTCCACCATTTTTTAGTCTACATTTCGAACAACAACAACAAGAACCCAGTAGAATCCCACTAGTGGGGTCTAGGTGGTAGAGTGTACGCAGACCTTACCCCTATCCCGGAGGGCAGGGAGGTTATTTTCGTGTCACGACCCAAACTGATGGGCCGCAACGGGTACCTGGTACCTTACTCAACTGAGTACCAACATAACATATCTTTCATATCATTCTATTATAGGTAAATGAATCAGAGTAAAGCATGAGGGAATACAAACTTATACATATGAAGTACGAGCCTATAAGACCAAAATAGCCACTCGTGCACTGATCATGGGCCGACAAGGCCATACCATCTTTTACGTATATGACATGTGTCTACAAGCCACTAAAAATATATAATTTTTATAAAGGTCGGGACAGATCCCCGCCATACCAAATAATACACATCTAAATCATACTAACCAATCAAGCAACTCCGAAGCAAATGGAGCGCACCAACATCTTCCGCTGAGCTTATAGCCTACTAAGAGGGCTCTCGACCTATCTATCGGGACCTGCGGGCATGAAACGCAGCGTTCCTGGGCAAAAAGGGACGTCAGTACGAATAATGTATCGAGTATGTAAGGCACATAAATAAGTACATAACAGACATGGAAGAAATATAGAGTAAATGACTCAACCTATAAGTCTGGATAACTCTGTAAATCATGAAATACTTATAGTGTCATGCATATGCGTATGAATGTCATGTCGTGCATAGGTACATGTGTTCATAACATCATCAAGCCTCTGAGGGCATCTCATCATATCATCTCGGCCACTGTGGGCAAATCATCAACGTATACCAGCTAATCAGGTGGTGGTACATATATAACGTCATAACTTTTTCCCATATCTCATATACATATATACATATATACGCGTATATAATGCCATCTGAGTCATGGGTCAATGTACATGTATAAATGCATGAAATGCATAAGAAATACGTTAATAAAATTTTCTCGGAATGCCATAAAACTCAATATGCCTTTCGAATAAACTTTATCAAATACGTATTTTTCTGAGACCCATGAACAGACGATAGAATAATAAGACACATGGAGAATCAAGAACATAAGCATCTCTAACATTTCTATGAATATAGTCATTTATGAAAGTTGTGCATTTGAATATTTCGTTTGCATCGTATGGATCATGCCAAAAGAAAGAAGGGATAGCCTTAACATACCTGGAGTAGGGAAAGTTCCGTATAATATTCTTGGAGAAGATTTCACCGTATATATTTAGAACAGTAAAATTTTACGTTGCTACGATTCTAACAATTCTCATTGGAATTGTGTTGTTGCAAGAATTCGTTGAAAGTCTTTGTGGATTGAATAGCTTCTGTTCTTGAAAGGCAAAATGAATTGTTGTTGTTGGACTCGTTATTTAGAAGCTTGCTTACAAATAGGAAAGAACTTTGGAATGCAACAGAACTTAAGAACTCTGGAGTAACTAGAATTTTGCCGGTTATTCTTGATTATTAATCTTCTTGTAGAAAAAGAGCTGGAGGCCATTATTGTGGTGAATGTGCATTTAAAGTTAAGGGTCAATTCTTGAACAAAGAAATACTTTAAAGTAGGAAGAATGATAATCATTCTTGTTAAGAACGTTGGGCTTCTTTTGTCCAAATTGAAAAATGGAATAAGACTTATCATAAGTATTTACTTATTAATTCCAAATAAATCCTAGATAGCCAACTATTCAAGAGGATTAAAGATTCATTTTCTAGGCTAGCTAATGCTGCCACGTTACATTTCTTGTAGGCTTATCTCATAGTTCATTAATTAACTAGGTAATGTCCTGTTACTCGGTAATTAACCAATTACTCGTATAATTAAGAATTATTTTAAATTACCTAAAAATACTACTTATTTTTAATATACTTTATACATTATACTACCGTGGTTATATGGTACCTTGCATGGTACTAGTTCATAATTATCGGGTATTATCGCTCGACCCGTATTTTATCCCAAATTGGCCACTTTCAACGAAACTCGTTTTCTTTAATTCGTGTACCATTTTATCCTTTATGACACTTATTTATTGCTTGTTATAAAATAGCATAATCCTTATAATCTCCAAATAATCTTTTCCTTGGACTGATGTCAATTACCGTACGATAAATTCAACGTACAATACTACAGGGTGCAACATTATCGTAATCTAATACTGCGAGGCATAACATCATCGTAATATTGTGGGGCGTAACATCATTCTCCCCTTTGGAACATACGTCCTCGAATGTTGACTGTTGCTCTTATCATTTTCATAACTTATAGCTCTTGTGAATAGCTTAATACTCTCCTTGCTATTTAGACCTCTTTCCCACGCCTTGAATTGTGATCGAATTCCTTCCAATCTCATAACTGTTGCTACCTTCTATCATGCAGCCTCTACGATACTGGCCTTGTGCCTATGCTACTCTTCTCTCCTTTTTCCTCTAGCTTTTATCTAATCTCTAGGCCTTACTTTATAAACATATACAAGGCTTAATAGGATGCCTTTCTGGGCATCTATAGGTGTACTGAAGTTCTTTGCTCGGTACTTTGTAGAACTTGCGAATATGGATATATCTTATTTCATTGACCTAGTTATCCATTTGTATGACTTTACTGCATCTACGTAGGTCATACTCTACCGTAACTCTTACATTGATTTATCGTTATTGCGGTCTGCAACCAACTCCAGGTTACTCTCGTTGCTTATTCTTAAGACCGATGGTCTAATCCCATCTCATACTGTTGAACTTTTATCCATCTATTGTTGATTCACCTTAATGTTGATCCATCATCTACCACTGATAACTTGATCTCTTATGTAACACTGCCGCTAGGGTTTGTGTCTCATTAGGGCATCTGGAGTAATTAGATTGATCCACCTATGAGTGATACTATACTTTCATAACCGTACTTTATAGCATCCCAGTGTGATTCACCTTGTGTGGGTATTTTAATCATGTCCAATTCATGAGATCCCTTTCTTTTCTTTGTTAGATCATTACTCAATCGAAGGCCCAAACGTCATCCTTTATCTATCACAATTACATTATTATTCTATTACCATGGCAGCATCTCATCTCTTCTAAATGCTACTAGTCTTAGACTCCTTTGAGTTCATTCAGATTATACTGAGATTTCTATAACTTAGAGGAACCATCAACTCCCTTGTTTTTACGGGCTTAATCCCGAGGACTTATCCATTTTCGTCATCTTCTCACTTGCCCTTCTCTTATCCTTACTCCTATCTTTCTAAAACCTTATCGTTACATCATACTTTAGCTTGCAACCAATTTCCTTATGCTTTTCTAGAACATCGAGACATCACATCGTCTCTAACTCTTCTTTCACTCTCTAATTAGACCTTTCGGTACTTAGAAACCATAGGCTAGAAGGTATGCCATTGA